TAAAATTTGACCAAGGAGAGACAGAGAGAGAAAGAGAGGAAGGAACAGTGAGAAAACAAGTTGCCAAATCTAGGATTTAAACCATGGTCAGCCATGTGAAAGTCTAAACCTTAATTACCAAGCCAGTGTTGGTCCTCTTTTTGTATATGAAAGGCAACAAAGAAATGGATGTGTCAAGGGAAAATATTTTTCTTCTACAGAAAGTCCCATTTCAATATGAATTTATCTGTGTAATTCATTTATATTATGGTTCCTTGATATTTGTCTATTATTGCTATATTATATTTTCATAATATTTGTTACTATCAGGTAATATTATTGATAGTTATCCCCATTAATGATTTTGATTTATTACAGCTAAAACTCCCTTTCCTGAAATAAAAAAAATGTATTTAAAAAATACCTATTTAGAGAAGAAGATTCTGCATGGCTCCTGCAAACTAGGCAGGAGAAGCCAGGCCCTCGGAAGAAGATTTCGCATGGTTCCTGCAAACTAGACTAAACTTCAAGAATCTGAAAAAAACACACTGTCCATCAGATGACAAGAAATCACCGCCAGATCACAGGAAATATGGGAAAACAACAAAATACCTCTCCTCCAAGGGAAAAGAGTAACTCTTCTTCATCCACAAGCAGTTCAGTGAAAATCATGGAAATGTCTGATAAGGATTTTAGAGCATTCATAATGTCGAAGCTAACAGAGATGGAAGAGAAGAGAGATAATGAACTGCTAAAGAGAAAAGAGAAAGAAGTTGATGAGTTCCAGGAGATGAGGAAATTCTTGCAAGATCTAAAAGAGGAATTAAACACTTTACAAAAGACTCAAATGGAACTGTTAGAAATGAAGTCTATAATACAGGAAGTCAAAATCTCCCTTGAAAGTATGAAAAGCAGACTAGATCATTCAGAAAATAGAATCTCTGACATAGAAGAGAAAATGGCTGGCCTAGAAAAATCCACCATGAAGACTGAGAAAATGGCACAAAAATTTGAGAATAATAAATGAGAAGTACTAGATACCATCAAACATCCAAACATCCAGATAATTGGCATTCCAGAAGGTGAAGGGCATTGATAATCTATTCCATGAAATCCTGTGAGAAAACTTTCCAAACCTAGAGAGGCATTCGAAGATCCAGTCCAGAGAAATACAAAGGATCCCAAATAGAATCAACCCAAGAAGATCTTCTCCAAAACACATGATAGCCAGGTTGACCAAAACCACAGACAAAGACAAGATACTAAGATTGGCATGAGAAAAACATCAAGTTACCTACAAAGG